CATACTCTAAATAGATTAAAATAAATATATAAGGATGTTCACTGTAATATTACTTGTAACAGCAAAAACTTAGAAAACTCCAAATTGCCTGTCAGCTCTCAGATAGTAAACCACAGTACATCCATAGAATAGGATCTTATGTACCTGCTAAAAAAAAAGAAATAGGTCCCTACTGCTGCTGAGGATAAACCTCCAAGATACACTACAGAATATAAGCAAGGTATGGGTGTATACCTAAATATTCTGTATTGAAGTTCTGAAGGCATATATATATATAACTTAAAAGTGGTTACCTCTGAGAAACATGACTGAGAGAATATGACTTTCATTTTTTATTCTAAACTCTGCTGTACTGTTTGAATTACTTTCATTATATGTATTGGTTATTTCATTAATAAAAATACTAACTATATGCAGTATTTCCTGCATGGTCTGCAAACACCTGTTTGCTCTCTGTAGAAGTAGAAAAGAGAACATTCTTTCCTTCTTCTTCAGACTTGAGCCTTCATATAGCAAACCACAGAGCCTACTAGTAGACAGGGACCACCCCTCCCCAACCAGTCCAGGTGAGGCCCCCACCCTCACTCACTGTTTCCTCTTTTCTGTGGCCTTGGTGCATGAATGAAGAGAAATTTTTATTTCTGTTCTTCCGATTATAGAGCTATAGAGTCCATCTCTGAAAAGCTAACTTGAAAGATGATGAAAAGCATGATTCCATCATAAAACATAACAAATAAAATCACTGCTTTCCCTAACGCTATTTATTACATAATTACAGTTGTCCCTTGGTAACCACAGGGGATTAGTTCCAGGAACCCCACAGATACCAAAATCCAGGTATACTTAAATCTTTCAGCACTTTGCAACCCACATAAATGAAAAGTCAATCCTCCGTATGAGGGTTTTACAGCCAGTGAATATTGTACTTTTGCTGATACAGAACCCACGGATATGGAGGGCCCACTATATTTACTGAAAAAAAATCTGTGTATAAGTGGATCCACACAGTTCACCCATGTTGTTCAAAAGTCAGCTGTATATTACAAAAACAAACAAATGAAAATGTTTTCCAATTCAAAGTATATCATCTGCCATTCTTCCAAGACCCATGAGATCCAGACAGATCAGGCACTAGTCTAACGGGTTTTCTGTTCCCGCTTAGAATCTTATGTTTGCCTACCTCAAAATACTAAGCAACTCTTTCATCTAAAATTACCTCTATAAGAAAAATAATAGTATACTAAAGCTGAAAAGATGACATGGAAGCTACACTGAAAATTTCTGATGTTGAAGATCTCAAAGAATAGTTGAACTTCGTTTTGTACTTATTCTGTCAGAGACATATCTCCAACCCCGCTGTGGGGTGGGGGGAAAAAAAAAGTCACTGAAAAGTATGTTTCTGTTTTACCTATAATTTGACCTTGAGACTTGAGGTAGGGAGGCTACTTACTTAATATCAAGGGACCTTTCCAAACTGTATAAAAATAATCCCTACTATGTTTTCTTTTGTCAGAAGGTCATGATACATAGGCATTTATTACAATTTCTTTATGCGTTCATTCATTTATTTTTTAGCTTTACTGATAGAGAAAACAAGTTCATTATCACCTGAAAAAGTCTAATATCTCCTTAGCTAAAAACTACTACTACTCAATCTGATATTTTATAAGTATTACGACCAAAAATGTGATTTCACTTTCGGTAGTGAGGTATAAAAGTAATTAGTAAAATGAACAAAATTGATGCCTGGTGCACTGAGCTGTCTGTGGTACTGAAAAATGACACCAAAGCTGAAATGTACTGAGCTGGTATCTTACAAAGCCTCCCCATCATACTGTTTTAATTCAAGCACTTCCGTCCATGACTCACCTGAACCATCTTATTTTGCCAGAGTGTGTATAAACATTTTATAAAAGGTCACACAGACTTGCTTTCCAAGGTTCTCCATGAAAATGTCAGGGCCTCCTCTTGCTTCATTAAGCAATTCCAGAGGACATAGAGCCAGAAAGTCAGTTATAACACTTACTTTTCCTGAATGCAGTGAGAAATCATATCATGTACCAGAAATCTACACTGGCTAGCTTTAACTATCTGATTATCATACTGATACGCTAAAAAGAAAAAGCAAAACTGTTCTTTTAGATTATATGCTACATCCAAGGACATGCTATGAATAGCAGCATAACCTTGCATTTAGTTTCTTAACTCAAAGTTAATTGATATATTTGGAATCATTTAGCATGAGTTGGGAAGTGCTCATTAGCTTAAAACTTTTTATGAAAAAAATACACGTACAGCAGTGACATCAATAAATAAACAAGGAGGGGGGCGTAATTCATCATTTTCCACGCATATACATAAGCCTGGGCAGTTGGTTTCATTGCGTTTCAGAGTAAGGTATTTGACAGCCCTGTTGACGCTCTTCTCTGGACGAATTAGAACATCTCTACTTTTTTCTGGTTCTTGACTTCTATTTCAGGGTCTTCACATTTATTTGACCCTTCTCCATTTTATTTTATTTTTTAAATAAAAGTATCTCATATAAGAATTTGGAGTTTCAGCTTAAAGGAGAAATCCCTCTACATAATATACCGACTAAAAAACCTACATCCAAAATAATTAAATGATATGACCCAAGCATCTATTTTGAAATTATCTTAAGTGTGGTGAGTTTAACAGAAGCCACATATCATATAAAATAAACCCAATTTTAAAACATATAACATTCTATAACGTTTATGTTGCCCAACAGTAAGGAAGTTCATTGTGCATATTTGCCGTGGAGGGTCATTCCATATCATTTTTCTCACCCATGCAATACATACCCTAATCAAAATACATATGCACATGCATAACTGAAATCATCCTCAAAATTACCCAATGAGTGGAATGCTTTCAAGCATTAATCTATAAAAATATGATGCTTTTTTATTAATTTCTGTAAATTTCAAGCATTCTAATGAGATACCAATTTCTTTAAATAAATAGTTAACATTTGGTAGCTCTTCTTAGACTCCTATGAATTACTTCAAAAAATCTCCCAGTGATTCTTAAAGAGTCAGTGTTTTCAAGACACTTTGTTCTTGATGTTAATACCAGCAAATGTCCTCCCCCATGAATGTTTAGCTGTGTGATTTTCACAAGGAACAGGCAATAACACAAAGGTGATATTTAATAAAACCCAGCAAGGTCTCTCATTTCAGAATCACTAAGCAAAACATTTTTCAAGTTAACTTGATTTTTAAAAATATGTAAGAACGTTTTGGAATAATCTTTTAAGTTTAAGTGAATTCATATAAACTTTTGGATTTAGAGGGAAACTGCAGAAAAAGAAATATCCATGTTTCAGGGTTTTTGGCATGTAGCAGCAGATCGCAGAGGGAAGCATTATGGCCTGGAAGCTAGGACAGGGCTGGTTCTCACTGTGCACTGTCTAGCTGTGTGGCCCGGCAAGCTACCTCTGCTGATTTCAGATTCCTTATCTGTAAACTGAGTCAAAGGACCATTAAACCTATTTTGTTCCTTCCAGCTCTAATTGTCTACTCTTCAAGTCAAAATGAAAAGACAAATTTCTAATGTTTAAGTTATATTTTAGTATCTCTTTAAAATCTTCAAAAAGAATCTCAAAAGCCCACCATCCCTAGTATTGAATTAAAGATGAATCTATGTAAACTGTTAAAACTTTAAAAAATTTAAATGTGTTCATCTCATTTTGGCAGTGCAGTTTTGTTATTTATTTCCCGAGTAGTCTCACTCTTTCTAATTATTCTCCAACCTCATCCCTTCAAAAACACATTTTTCAAAGTTTTACAAATATAAAGGCAAGGTGAAATAATTTCTCGCTCCGCACTTGGAGTAATGTGCATCATTATTTTGTCTGGGCAATCATTAAAAATGATTTCTCCCATATTTACTTTGTGTTTGCTAGTTACTAATTTAAAATTAATTTAATTTAAATTAATACTAAATGACTTCAATGGCAAATCCTATATAAGGTTTTAAATTGAAAGGCAGCTTAAAACTGAGGCAGTCTAAAGGAAGATGGCCTAAATTAAGGGTCTCATAGTACCACCAAATGTCTAACAACTGCTCAAAAAAGAAAAAAAAATCAGAAAATACATAGTGCAAATTCTCACGCACCAGGACCACAGGCCTGAGCCACCACACCTCCCACACAGTGCAAATTCTAAGCTGAAAAAAATCCCAATCTAATTTTCGAAAACTCTATACTTAATTTAATTTAAAAGCCTTAATATTCCTTTGTAGGCTAACAACTGACAAGATGACCCATAAGTTTGATAGAGCATTCTGATATGGATACTAACAGCCAAATATAGAGCTCCTGGCTGCATTTAAACAAAATAAATATTAGGAAAAAAAAAAAAAACCTCACAAGGACAGTGGCCTTAACTGTTAAATTACATTTTTAAAAATACTTAATGATTGGATATACACAATTTGCATTCTAAACTTACAACAGTTTTTTTTTTTTTTTTAATGGTGGGGGATTTAGGAAATGGTTAGATCTTTTCCCATATCTCATTTAATAAATTAGCCAGCAACTCATCACTCAATTTTCTTCTCTATCGTAAATTATAGAAGATTATATAGATACAATCTCCCATAATGACGCACCCACTAGGAAGAGGTATCTCAGACAAGAACAAAAGTTCATTCTAGATTAAAACTAGAGCATAACTGGCCTTAAGGAACAAAATGTGACTGATCTGGAGAAAAGGATCCGCCTATTGAGGGGAAGTAAAAATCTTGAGTCCAACAAATACATCTCCGAAAATGGTGCATGCTTATATGCCACCCTGCCTTGTGTTGTTTTCCACTTCCTGAAAGAACAGGTCAGGTGCTAACATAACAATACAGCGTGTGTCTTCTGTAACCTCAAGCAAGGACATGACGGCTTGGAAAAAGCCTCTGCTGCCTCGCGTTTCTCTAGGCTGACTGCAGGGCTTTGGGTCATTCATAAACAGCAGGACCTAAGTTACCTGTATTTCCCTGGCGTGGTACACGATGATCAGACCGAGCAGGATGATCGTGGAGAGACTGATAAGGCATTTCAGAGCTAAGGAATACAGCGACGCCTGCAACACAGACAGAAGCACTTTTAAGAAAGAAGCACTTTTAACCACCTTCCAGGCCCCTAGAGTCAGTCAGTCCCCCATAGGTGGACCTGAACTCACAGAAGGAAGATAAGGGGAGAGGGGTGCACCTGTCTTGGCTCTGTGATCTGTCAGATCATTCAGCCTCAAAACCAAGAGATGAGAGTAGACCTAGAAAGACTGGAAAGACGCGTGGCTGGGCTGCCGGGTCCACGCCATAGAGGAACGAAGCGCTGCTGCTCCAGGCTAGCAAAACCAGAGAGGAACTTCCTCCTGAGTTCAAGAGAGCGGGTTGAAAGGGCCCTCCTAAACATAATTCACCAAGGGATGAACACAGGTGGTTTCCACCGACTCCCAGAACCACTTACTAAAGGTGCGCGAATGCGCTGGGCACTCTTAACTACCTCGAGAACTTTGGCTGCACGCGGAAAGGGTTCATCTCTGAGTTGTTTAGCTGACTAGGGATGCGCGTACTAGACGCGCCCGCTGTCCTGGCTGGCTCACTTGATAGTTCTGGGGAGGCTGGGACCCGCAGGCAAAGGGTCCCCGCCAGTGCCGATCCCAACCACCCAGTGCCCCGACTCCAGTAGCGTGGGCAAGGGTTCAAGCCGGTACCTTGTCGTAGGCGCCCCACGACAGCTCGGTCTCGATGACCATGACCACGATGCCGAACATGCCGAAGATGAGCGCGTAGTCGCTGAGCCGCTTGCGCTTTTCGAACAGGGCGCGCCGGTGGCCCAGCTTGTAGCCGATGTTCTGGTTTTTCTTTTTGCTGGACTTGGTGCCACTGCTGCTGCCGTGCCCGCTCCCGCCACCGCCGCCGCCTCCTCCGGTGCTGCCTCCGCCGCCGGTTCCATAGAGCGCCAGGTTGTTGGAGTTGTTGTGCTCGGGCTTAGACACCACGATCTCGGGGGCTGAGGACGAAGCGGCGGCGGCGGCGGCGGCGGCGGCAGCAGCGGCTGCAGACGGGGAGGACGCGCCGCCACCTCCTCCGACAGACGCAGGGGGCTGCAGGGGCTGTGCCTCTGAGTCCATCTCGTGCAGGTTCCGGCGGGACGCGCTCAAGTTGCTGAGCGGCCGCATGACGCCCCCGTTGTACCTGCAGCTGCTCATGGCTATTTCGGTGAAGGGGTTGCTCTCGCGGCGCGCCTGGGGCTGGTGGTGCTGGTGGTGTGCCGGGTGCGGGTGGTGGTGGTGGTGCGAGAGCGGGGGCCCGGAGCCCAGGCTGCCAAGGCTGCCCGTGGGGCTGGCGGCGGGCTGCAGGCTGTGGCACTGGTGGTACTGGGAGGCGGACGCGGGCTGCTGCGCGTACTGCTGCCGGAGCGCACTGGCATGGCTGGACGGCGTCAGCTCGCTCACATTGAGCTGGCTGCCCCGGCGCGACGAGCAGCAGCAGCAGCAGCACGACGAGCCCGACAGCGGCGAGGAGGTGCGGGTCCGGAAGGCGCCGCCGGGAGAGGAGGTGCGGAGCAGCAGGGACAGGTTATCCCCCGCCCCCGCCGCCGGGGCACCGGAGGAGGAGCAGCTGTTGCACCGGAGGCATGGGCTGCTGCCGCCGCTGGCCGGCTGCTGGTGCGCGAGGTGCGGGTGGTGGTGAGGGTGCGGGAGGGGCGCGAAGGGCGGGCACGGCTTGTCCTGGCTCTGCTGCTGCTGCTGGCAATGCAGGTGTGAGGAGCGCGGCGGCGGCGGCGGCTGCTCTGGGAAGAAGCCGCGCTGGAACTGCAATGGGGTTTCCATGTCAGGGCTGTTAAAGCTGCAGGGAGACCAAGCGGTGGTGCACCCTGCGCAATGCGTTATGGTCGGGAGCGGGGACTCCTGCTGCTGGTGCGAGGAAGGGCCCATGCCGGCTCCGGTAGAATCCAGGCGGCGAGTCCGATTGGTTGGGCGCACCAAAACAATGGGCATGACATCACCTGCGGGGACCGAGACTGAGTTTGCGGCGCGCGCGGCTTAGGGAAGCGTGTGTGGCAGAGAAAGATGGGGATGGGAATCTGCAGGACAGAAACCCTGGGGGGTGCAGTCCAGAGCCAGGGCGCTCCAGGGCAGGGATTCCACCTGCTGTTTGCGTGCGCCCCTCAGCCCTGCCGGAGATGGCGAGCCCCCACGCAGTGCAGCTGGGCTGCAGGAGGAGGAGAAAAGAGAAAGGCGCCCCTCCCTCCCATGCCGCTGCCCCCCTGACTAGTGCCGGATGCGCTGCCCGGATCACCTGCGCCAGCCACTGCAGCACGTCGGGCCATCCTGGCCAGGGGGCAGGCGCAGGGACGGTGTTGAACCCCGACCACTTCTCCGCCTGCATGCCTTGTAGGGCTGCAAAACAGCAGCCCCCTCGTCCCACGCCCGCTTCTCCCAGATCATCCCGCCGAGAGTGGGCTGCCGGCTGCCCGCCAAGTAACTGCGGGGGCACTGGCTTTGGGGAGAAAAAGTTTGGCGGCCGGCTACGCCAGTGCGGTAGCGTGTGGGGAGAATCCCGGGGCCTGAGCCCTGCCTTGGCCGCTGCGGGATCACAGCCGACCCCGCGACCGGATCTTTCCCCGCCAGCGGGCTCTGGAGTCTGGATTGGGTGCGCGGCGCTCTAGCCCGAGTGCGCTGCGGCGCGGGTAGGGTTAACAGCCTCGGCGCCCGGGCTGGGGGAGGGTGGGGGCGGGGCCGGAGGAGGGGATCCCCGCAGTCCGCCAGCAGAGCCGGCAGGGCTTCCCGGGTCCCCCTGGCGGGGGCGGAGGGCTTTCCCCGCTACTGCCAGCTCACATTTGCGCCTTCTCCGGAACATGAGGGGCTGGCGCCCCCGGCCGCCGGGTGCTGGGCTCTGGCGCTCAGGCTCTCCGGCAGCCCGAATCCAGAGGTCCGAGGGCTTTCCAAGCGGTGGAGAGGCAGGCGGCTCGCTCAAAGGTGTGGGGGCTGCTCAGTCACCGCCGGCCTCCAGCTCCTCTTCTGCTCCTCTTCCTCCTCCTCACCTGCAGCGCAGACACAAAGCAAAGACCGGTCACAAATAACGCAAACATCGAGCATCTTTGCCAAGTCCTAACTGCAGCGGCGGGTGGGAGAGGGGCCTGGGACGGGCTGATTCACCCCGGTAGTCGCAGCCTGGCAGAGAAATTATTAAGAATGATAGCTTGGGCTGAATAATCGCTGCCCAATGACAGTGCTGGAGGTTTGTTGGAGTTCGGTATCATTTTTTATTTACTCCGTAATAAACTAACACAAATTGCACTTGGTGTCTCACAAACTCCCTGCGCTGTGTTCTTCTAGGAGATGCAGCAACACCATGGTGATCCTTTTGAAGGTTCTTTGTTTCTGCTCCATCTTAAGTCTTTACATTGGCATTTCTTTGTGAATTCAAATTCCCGTCTCCCCCTAAAGAAGATGAAAGAAATTGGCCCGTTGAATATTTGTTTCCATTTTAAATTATTTTAAAGCCTGATTTTTATGATAGAGACTATTACAACGAATTACACCTAGAAATTAGAGTGAAAGCGGATCACCCTCATTAGGTCATTAGGTAATTGGAATTCTCAGCTGGATCCGATGTCTTGATATTCTAGTCGGCAGCTGCCCTAAAGTTGCTTACCTGGTATCTGCTTTTAAGAGTGTGCGTGCGTGTGCTTTCAGTGTCACGGAGTGAATAATTCATTTTATGATATTCTTTGGACACATGTTAAACAATTTTAATTTTTTTGTACGTGCAAATAAACATTCAGCAGAAAAAAAGGGGTGGGGGGCGCAGAGCTGCTGTTAGTCCCATCGCCCTGGACTTGAGATAATGAATACTGTCCGGACTTGAATTTCTCAATGGTCTTCGTCAAGAATATAATTTAGTGGCTAACAATCAGAGACAGCATTTTGTTTTTATCATCTATTGTTATTTTTGTTCTGTATCTTCAAAATGACAATTCAGTAAAACTTGTTTAGGATCACGAAGCTAATTGAGTCTTCGGGGCAGCTGAGTAGATACTGCATGAATTGTGTGGAAAGCATAACTATTAAAAACAATTCTGAGAAGTAATTTGAATTAAAATAGAAGTTTCCCTATGAAAAGTTACTAACCTTCTGGTCTGAAAAAGAAATTCAACTCATGCAGAAAATCCATCAAACATGTATTAGGACCCTTTTCAATAAATTATATAGCTTTCCAGTTGCTACGGGTAGCGATTGAGTGAAAATGTTTGATTCATCCTTAGAAATCTAAATACTTCAAAGGAACATTATGATAAATTAATAAATATTTTTATTAGCGATTCATAAATTTAGAAAAAAGATTACATAGCCTCCACCCCCGAAATACCACAATAGTTGTTGCCAGCATTAAATTAGATACAAAGTTCTACAGTTTCGGAACTGTCATAAGAAAAATAATGGCTGCATCCCTTGTGTCAAACTGACTTTGTCAAATAGCAAATTCAGTGCTTCAACAGAGGCTCCAAAAACAAAATAATAGGCAAAAATATATCTTTTGCCATGTATATCTCTATGCTCTAGCATGGGATTAGTTGCAGTGCCATTAATCATGTAGAAATCATGTAGAAATAATCATCTCAGAAATTGCCTACTGAGATTTATGGCAATGTTGCATGGAGTTCTCACTTCTCTCCAAGGGGGTACACAGGAGGACAGAAGGCACAAAATTCAGAAGAAAGTGGAAATTTGATCCACAACATGAGGGACTGTCGGAACACCAAAACTCAGACTAATAGTACTTCCAGCTAGCCACTTTTTTGAAAAAGCTCATAAAATAAATTAATAATGTAAAACTCACTGTGATTGGACAGACAGCAAATCAATTAGACATCGGCTTTCTGTTAAGAAATCAACTGATTACACACACTCGAAAAGCCATCTTGCTAATAAATATCTGTATATTGAGAGTGTGATAAACCTGTATTACTATGATGAAAAAACACAAGATAATTTTGTGTTTCATTTTTAGTCTGAATCATAACTTCATTGTTTAAGACATTTTACACTATTAGGTTATAACAGGCACATTTAAGAAGTTCTTATTTTCATCATTCCTCTTTTAATAAAGTCAACAAATTTTATGTTTATATGTAGACATTTAAAATGTATATGACATAATTTTTTCTTTTTTTTCCTATACAGGATTGTAGAGATACATGTAACATGTAAAGTTAAATGAAGCACAAAGGCAATATTCTTCCACATGGATAGTCCTTTGCACATAGGAGATACTTATTTATACTTGTGACTATAGAGAGAAGAGAGGAAGGAAATGAAGAAACATTGGGGGTAAAAAAGACGCAGATCAAGGGCCATGACTTCCAGTGATAAGCTTTCAGAAAATTAAATTTGCTTCTTTTTGTTCCATTAAGGCATATAAGTGAGAGAATTTCCCTAGATTAACACCAGAGGTCATACTCATCCACAAAATGTATTTCAAATCTAATCAATTAAATTTATTTCCAGCATCATCTTTTAATAAAAATTGCCTATTTTTTTCTTATGGCCTACAACAATTGCTTTCCCATATTTGTTGAATTTCAAGCTTGTGAACACACACACAAACACCCATCCACAAACACACACATTTTCTTAGAAGAATGTCTTTTTTCAGACCACAGGAGCTTGGGAAAAAACTTTATGGTGTTTGCACTCCAATCCCTTATTTTACTCAAATTGATATTAGGCCATTGTTTATAATTCTCTTCTTTATAGGACTGTCTATGCTATGTCTTTTTGTTGTACCTTAAAAAGCAGGGTTCTCTTGACTTTGGGTGTTTTTGGTATATTTCCAAAGGCAATCAGACCAGGGGTCCCTGGCATCTGTTTCCCACATTGTGTGGTCTGAAGGAAAATGTTGACCTACAAAGTAAATGTTTTTCTGATAATTATTTTTTTCTTTGCCTGGGTAAGTCAACTACAATATTTGGTGGTGCCAAACAGAGAGGTTGTGACGAGACACTGCCACTCTGAACTTACTGTCCTTAGCAATAAATGCAAGTGGGGAATCAGGATTGTATCAATTATTTCCTTAGCACAATAACAATTCCATGTTTCTGGAAACATAACAATTAAAAGGCCCTAAAAACACTATTATTTTTAAATCACACATTGCCCCACTTCATAAGAAATCTACTAATTTGAAGAAAACATAAACATCATAATTATTATATGTGGTTCTTCATACTTCCGCATTATGATTATAAAGTATCAAGATATGAATGAGCGTATTGGTGAGGGTCTTATAAATTTTTAGCAATACCTCTGTTTTTTAGAGGCTAATTATTGTGTTAGGGCCTATCCATTCACTTCCTAAATTTTCGATTTTTCCTATTCTCACCCTTGTCTCCTACAGTTTCTTAGATAGTTAGCATATCTATAAAAGTCTCTGCAATGCCAGCAAAAAAAGACAAAGGTAAAACTCACACTGAGTTTGCTAGAACTTAACTTGTGTTAATTAAATGGGTGAACAGGTAGAAATCACTGTGTATGCTAAGTCTTATTAAAATAATCTGTGGATTTCATGAACAAATATCCTTTAGCAGCTAGAAACACAACACTCGCATCTAGAAAGTCATAAAACTCAGCAGACAGCACATTCTACTTTATAAAGTAGTTTCTCATGTGTTTATTTTATTTGCATCTCACAACAAACCACATGGAAGGCAGGAAAAGGTTTTATCATCATCTCCATTTTACAAGTAAAGATAATACCTGAAATTCAGTGCCTGCCCTACCCAAGGTGATACAGCTAGTGAGTAGCAAAGAGAGGCCAGACTTCAAATACAATCTTCTGAATTTTTCTGTGAGTCTGTTTTACACGCTGCTTGCTCTTCTTCACAGCCAAAGAATATAGTAGCCTCTCATTACTAGAAACTGCCTGTGAAGGACCTCACAGACATCTCCTCACTGGCTTTTTGGTTTCTGTGATTCTTAACTATTGTCCTCTTGTT